CAGTTGGAAAAGCAAAATCTTCTGTCACTACTTATTTTCATTTTTCGTAAATGCCTCACAATCAGTTAATCGTGAGGCATGTTTGTATTGTTAAGATTGATAGAAAACACATAAAAAAGTCTACATTGTGAAAAGGTTAACGGTAATAATTTCGACTTACATTAAAACTTAAGCAGACATGTACATGTATATGCTGTATTTTGCTCGTTGGGTAATCTAATGGTAAGGAAATGCGCCCATACTAAACAAGCGCAGTACTTCGAAATCAGGAGAAGTGTGGAGTTGTGAAAAAAGACCCCAAGATAGCAAAGTCAGGTCTGAAAGTTACTGAAAGTAATAACGATAGACACCCAATGATACAAGTAGATTATATCCTGACCAACCATTAATTGTCATGCGTGAAAAAATAATTTGATTTGTTTTGAAGCATTTTTCAAATTTCCTTGTTTTGTTTGTTCTTTATTTAATAAAAACTAACTGTGTGTAGTGCCGCAGTGTACATGGAATTTTGATTCAATGACTGGGCACCCGGAAGGGGGAATTTTGTTAGAGCGAGAAAAAAATCCGAATCGAATCGATGGGAATCGGCTGGGTTTGCTTTTTTCGGGGTTTCGTCCTAATAGCTTTTGATCCAGCTGTTGTCGGGACAGAGGGCGGTATAACCCCGACTCTTAGACCGTTTTAACTGTCGTTGTCGTCACCGTCAGATGATCTTACATCTTGACTACAAAAACCTGTTCTTGGTGAAAATGTCCCGCAATTCCTTGACACAGATTGGTTGTAGGTTGTCGTGGACAACTAACGGATTTCAAGGCTCTCTGGCAGTCAACCAATTACTGTGCGTTTTCCTGTAACTCTAAAAGAACATTAATACTGCCCCTTTCCTTTTTGTTCGGCAAAATAGAGCGAAAACAGGAGCAGACTAGAAAGTCTTTGAAGGTGAAATTCTTGGCGGAAGACATACGTTAAATTATTGCTGGCTATGGTTTCTCCACAACTATTTGTCGCAAGCCTGAACTTTTTAAGTTCAGAGAAAAACTTTAAAAAGGTAAAAGATACCCACGAAATTTTGTTACCCACCACGGCAAGACTCCACAATGTCAGGATGTTGTAAAATTAACAATAATCACACATGGATGGATGCATGGATGTTCAAGACATTGGAGCCTTCTAAAGATTTCGAGAAGGGTCATGAACAATGTCCAGCAATAACCCCGGCTGTCAACCTAGGCCTGTACCCTAGAGCCGTGAGAACCTTCAAGAAATTTACCGAGTAAAACATACTTTCATCAGCGGATTATACCAAAGAACTGTTTTGCATCTTTTAGACTGGTGTCTTAAAATATCTTGAGATTAAAATAAAAATTCCCGGGTGAGATTTTTTTGTCCCAAACAACGTTATATGACCTAAAATATCGGGACCTGTTTGCTACATAATATTCTTTGCTACAATGGCCACTACGCGCTATGGATTTAAGAATCGTCTCAGATAATTTTTTTCTATTCACATGCAAAGGTAGGCCTATACACCTACAAAATATTAACGTTTAAAAAATAGAATTGGGTTATTAAGTGTATTTTCGCGACATCTTGTAAGCTTACCTGCAAAGTCGCCCCAAGTTCTATAACTGGAGGTACTTTCAACTCGTTGAGCAAACACGATAACCCTTTCAAATCGATGACCACGGTGATCGTGTCGTGGAAGTCCAAACGACGTTGCATAAGCAGAAGGTACTCCTGTAGAAGAGAAGTTATGCACACATCTTTAGTGAGTTCTCGATGGAGGGTAAACAAGAAGACACTTGAAAAACAGGCACCCTACGTTGGTTGCTGGTAGGTTTTCGTAAAGGTGGTGCCAATTTTTGCTAGCTGTCGACAGCATGACTTTCAGGATGATAAACTGTTGTGCTATGCAATCTTTAGGATGTCGATCGTGTCGACACCCAGTGTTCAACTTTGCAAGGATGACCTTACATGTTGAAATGGTATCCCTAAAAGGTCCGTAAACGACCAAGAGATCATCGATTGTAAATCATCAGGGATGATAGACTTCGTGGGGGGGAGAGCAAGAGAAATATGAAACAAAAAAAAAAAAAAGGTAAAACTAGCATTGATGACCCTTTTTGGAAGACGGGGGGGATGAAGCAATCTCGATTTGGAATCACTCTATTTCATCTCACTGATTTATGGAGGTACCCTTAATCGGGTGGATGGCGGAATCATATCCCGACTCCCACGAACCATGCATCGTGGATTTAAAATATGGAGCTACAAAGAGCTTGTGATTCCACATGAAAGATAGCAAGGGCGGATCCAGAACCAAATTTCGGGAGGGGGGGAAATGGAATTTGTTCATTAAGCCTAATGGCCTATTTGAAGAGTGAGACTACACGGGGGGTGTTACACACTGTAGAAGGAACATGAAATAGATAAAAAAAATGTTTTTCTTTCATTATTAAAAAAAAATTATCTCCATTTTTTTCACGGGGCATGGCCCCTATTGATTGTCCCCGCTTTCGCCCTAGGGGGATAAAGATTACCAAACAATCTGTGTCTACGAGGAAAAATTGTCCCATCAACAGTATGATGCACATGACTTAATGCACAGAATAATTTCAGCTGTAACCTTTGGCTAAGAGTCGAGGGAAGGCAGATGAAAGCGATTTCAAATTTCATACATCACTAGAGCCCCACACACAGCATACACAGCATGTTGACCACATGCAGTTGAAAGATTATGGTCAACGATGTACATGTACATTCTACGGCAGGTTTAAGACTTGGGTCACCTCTTTACCTGCATGCGAGTGGTGGCGTCTGGACTATTTTCCAGCGGCTTGAAAAGGGGAAAGGGAATGGGGACATGATAAGGGGTAGGTACTCAGTGTTTATACGTAAGCAGTTTCTCCAAAAAAGTAAAGCTCTGTGGCAACGCCTAAAAATGTTATGCAGACTCGTGGTTGCGTTCCCCTTGCAAATCCAGCGGATAAATATGACAAAGTGTGTTGAGACAGGCAAAACGGTGTTAATTAAGAGATAGTCTCGTGTTGGTAGCAGTCCATGGAGTTTAAAGGAAGAAAATCACTCATGCAATTTAAATTCACCCGATGAACACTGGCTATGAATGCACTTTTATTACTTAGACGTTGAAAGTTCGTTTCCCTTCGATCCCGAAATATCAGCACCCACGCCACAATCGAATCCCATTATCCCTTTCGTAAACATTACGCTGCAAAAAAAAAAAAAAAAAAAACCCTTCGTGAACATGAATTATACCGTGGGGTGAGTGCAAAAGGAAACATTCTGGGCTCTGCTAATAAGCAACGTTATGTAACTTTTATTTACACTTGTCACTGGTCAAGTCATTACCCTGGGCGTCACGTTTATAAGGCTGAGAATGAGGGCTGCCGCCCTTCATAGACTCAGAGAATCGGACGACTTTCACTTTCTTTAGACTGCATCCATCTTATGAAGATCAGGTAAGTTTTTCTCAGGCTTGTAACTTTGAATTCCATTGAAAAGTCCTCTCGTGATCAACTTCCTTTTATACAAGATCACAGGCAACGGAGCGTTGTTAAACACTACAAGATGGGTTAAACTGATACTAGTTTTAACGTGACTATATCTTAACATACTTAACTAGACCAAATAAATAAATAAGTGACATAGTGCGAACTCGGTTTCAGTTTTCAACATTGTGCTGACCCGTCTGTTCGTACAGAGCAGCACTGACTGGCAATATGAGCCTGTGGAGTGGGGAGTGAACCAATATGGAGTGACTGTAGGTTCTCCTTAAAAAATAATGTAGAGTATCAGCTTAATTCTAACTCTTAGAGCTTTCGGACGACTGAAGATCTATGGACTCTAGCCTCACACAAACTCTGCCTTACCAAAAATTGACGGAGAATCCGAAACTCTTATGCAGTAGACTGTGAATCCTATACCGGGTGGCAACGATAAACCACGCATATACCATGTCACGTTGCTGACTGAAGTTCACATTCCATCACCTAAGATTGTCTGGTCTCGCAGACGGTTGAGCAGTCGTAAGAGCAAACAGAAGTTGACATTCTAATAAAATAAAATTTCGTCCTTGTCAATGAAAGAAACTGAAGAATCCCGATCTAGCGTCAGTATAAAAGATATAAAAGTTCGCCAAGGATGAAAAGGGATGTTACGATTACAATTCCCTTTTTTGTCCATTCACAGCCGTAAGCATGAATATGCGCTGGACTCTGGCCTTGTTGGCCACTTTTCTCCTCGTGGAGGTGTCTCTAGCATGTATATCCAGCGGGAAACCTAAGCCCGATGATGGCTGGGGAGATGGAGGTGACGAGCCTAATCCTGGTGACGGTGATGGAGGCGACCGTCCCCGACCCGATGATGGAGACGGTGGCGACCGCCCCCGACCCGATGATGGAGACGGCGGCGATAACCCCCCACCCGACGGCGGAGATGGCGGCGATAACCCCCCACCCGATGGCGGAGACGGTGGCGATAACCCCCCACCCGGTGACGGAGACGGTGGCGACCGTCCCCCTACCGATGGAGGTGACGAGCAGCCTCGCGAGTAAGCAACAGCTTGAAATGAGAGGTTGCGTAAGCAAAGGTGGTGCGCCATGCTGTTCGTAGACAGCCCGAGCAATGAAGGGTTCTCCTTTTTCCTCGACTGCATCTCTTCCAGCAACCAACAGAGTTTCTGATGACAATCCTATATATATCATATTATTTCCAAGGACTGTGTTTTCCCTCGTTTATAGCGTAAATATTTTACTTAAACACTCGCTGTAGTGTAAATATTAAAAACAAATGAATACGTCTTGATTATGTATTTTTCAAATCGTTCAGTCGCACAGATTTTATGATGGACACAATAAAGAGAGTTTGGTAGCAAATATACAAGGATATTGATTAAAATGCGCCGTCTTTAGAAATGTAAGTTATCATTTGAAGTCCATTTGGATTTACAACTGTCTAATGTCTGCCGACAGGTGAACAAGCGAACTACATTGAATAACATTATAATTAACAGAACTTTCCTACTTGAAAGTTAAAGACTCTCCAAGCTGGATTTTTTGGTCGAGCCCGAGAAAAAAAAATTGAAACAGAGCATAACATCGTGAGGAAATCCTCACTTTTACACAATAAGAAATGTATACCATTGCGCATGCCCACAACAAGCGGCCAATCAGCGAAACTAATTTTTGGCCAGTTTCAACACTGATTTTTAGCGGCTACTTGGCTCCCGATAAGGTCTTTTTTCAGGTTATATTACAATGCCAGTACCCTCTGGGGACAGTACTTATCAAGAAGCGAAAGAGGCGAATTAAGACCCCATCGAAAACCAACCTTTCTCTTTTGTGGACGCCTAGTCTAGTCCCGTGCGAGCATCGCAATTGTTCCGTGCTGTAAGTCATGTGCATTACGGCTAGTCGGTGAGTTCTGTTTCTTACAGTTCAAATTTAACACCACACCTGATGCAAGTGGTTCCAAAACTAATCCTTGTTCTCCATAAGTAGCAGTAATTTAGAGGCGTCAGGAAATGAATACCACACTAAAATAATTTTCGTGCCAAAATCTACGCCTTGGAACTGGAAAAAAATACCAAAAACAAAACAAAACAAAACAAGATAAAACTGGGGAGCCAGATCCCCTACAAGAGTTGTCTTCTGAGCACTTCATTGACCATTATGGTATGCCCCAAATCGTTTCAGCATTCCCCTCCCTTCCCGGTGTTGGAAGAGTCCCAACACTGCAGGATAACAGTCTCCTGATCTGCCAGCAAAGAACTCCGGTCCTTAGCATCATCCTCGTGTTAGCGACCAACCTAATTAGACGAGGACGATTCTCAGTGTTTTGGGGAGGCAGTGAGTGGCTAGAGCTACACACCTGCTGAGCGTAACAGACACCGTGGCTTATCGCGCCAAATAAGCAGTGTTTTTTTAACATTATTTTCCTGTCTCTGGATAAAACCAACCCGTACGTGTCCAGTCATTACTGGTGTCCTTATCAAACCTCATGAAACCGGGTTTTCCTTTGCAGGTCGTGGGAGGAGGTCTGTGCACAGCGCAAAGCTCAAAGACAGCTTGGATGAAAAAATAGATTCATCCCATTGAAATCAACTGTTCAGCGAATAAGGAATTTCCCTAAAAGTGTTCAATTTTCAGCAGAGGGTAGTTTTGCGTTGAAACAGCAATTTGTTGACTAAATCTCCGGACTCATTACAGGTAGGCTCCACCTGCCACACCTGACAAGCCCAGTCGAGGTCACATCTTTCACCGTCCAGGCTTTTTCCATCGCGACACAGACTAGCCTCAATGTAACTTTATTCCTTAACAAACAGTTGGTGGCGGTGGTGGTGGTGGGGGGGGGGGTCGGACTGACATTAATCATGTCGTGAGAAAGGAGCATTTAATCTCCCCAACTATGCCCCAATAAAAGGAACCCTAAAAATAATCCCATCAAAAAACAATAAAAAGAATGAGACACGGATGAAGCCATTTTCTTTCGTTACGGGGGTGAATGTTGAAGATCATGGACCTACAATTAGCGATTTCAGTGAAAAGTTAACGCTTAATGTTATATTCTGACGGGGTGTATAGTTCATAAATGAACCACAACCGAAGTCCACGGTCTTGCTTAAGAAGCACACCCGCTTCCCAGGCATTAAGGTTAAACAGCGAAGAAGGATCTTGTTTCGTTAAATTAGCAGATCAACAATGTGGTCAAAGCAAACGCATTATGAAAGAGGGAAAGACCAACCGGAAAAGACCAGCATTGACAAGCAGTTCAGAGGAGCGTGAATGAGAATGACAGATGGATCAAAAACAAAATATCATTGGGCAGTAGACATCTCCGACAGAATGGCTATTCCAAGTCCAATCTACGCACTTAATCAGAACCCTAGCTACAGCTGATGATACAAAGTAAGTGGGCTTCATATGTTTCTCTTGCGTTTGCGGACTCAGACTTATCCACAGCCATGTGTTCTATTTTAATTGTTGAGGGAGGGGAATTATGTTTTGTGGACCGACAAAACTCGCCGTGAACGTTGGCATAAAATCATAGTGACATCATGTCGTTACTTTAGTTATTGCTCACAATTTTTTCAGTCTCTTCGTTTCTTTCTCTACATGTTTTGCACTCCTCTATGTTGGCAGCTGATACACACCCAAGCAGATGCCCCCACAACGAGAGCACCCGTCGCCATCACGACGTTTTTCTGGGTCAGCTTGAGCTATTTTCAAAGGATCGTAATCGGCTTCCCAGGGAATGGCGAAGATGCCAGGCCGTACCTGTCGCGCCAAGCCTCCACTGCAAGACACAACAATGCAACCTGTACTCAATAGACTGTTGACCCAACGTCGCCAGGGAAACATACATTCTGTACAATACTGTGCAAAGGATACTCAGCACCACCTTGCACCCAGCACTTTCTGTGCGGCCAGACAAGGCAAAGTTTGTTACGCATCTCTGATCATTTGTTAAGGGGCCTTCAGTGGGGGGGGGTATTGATATGTTCCAAACATGGTCAGCCAAAAGCCTGTCCAATATCACGTTGTGACAGAAATTACCCAATCTTCACCACTGAATTGTGTCATGTGACTGTTTTAAGGGATTTAAGCGATGATGGGAGGCGCTAAAGATGCGTGTCGCCGTGCCCGGCCCACGAATCACTTTCCCTCTCGTCGTCGTGGAATGTACGGTGACGAAGTGTCAATTGAAAACCCTGCTCTTAGGCAGTCTAAGACGTAGAGTGTCAGTATTTGAAAAGATCCAAGGATTCTCCTTTTTTCGAAATAATTCAGGGGGATAAGAATCTGGCCATTCTGAATCAGCCTTTCCTCGGGAGCAGACTGTTCCAGGTTTTGGTCCCTTGAATCTCTTTTGTTGACAGTTTCATGCTTGCACTGTAAGTAACATTTGTTTACTTGGACATTTTCGTTCATGGCTATTTCCCAGTTTATATCTATTACAAACGCCCAATGCCACTCGCTTCTCTGTAATTACCTTCTGGAGGGTTGTAATTATAAATGGTAACTCCAAGCAGTAAGGGTTACATGTTGCTGGCATAGTCAAGACCATTATTTTCCCGCAAAAAGTGGTTCTGGGTATGCTGTTAAATGGTTAATCAAAACAGGGCTATTTTGAACGCAACTTCGCCACAACTTTGGTTATCATAACTTTGGAAGATAATCTACCAGACTAACAAGTTAAGATTAAATCAGCGAATTATACAAAAACACATTTGATGAGAACTTTTCGTCCTTCTTTCTTACATAGTAACAACAGTTTAAGAGCCATGCGATTGAGTTTCGTGCTGCTGCTCGTCCTACTGGCGGGGATTGCGCTGGCCTATCCCACCCGTGGACGAGGTGGCCGCGGGCGTGAAGGCAGACTGGGTGGAAGTAGGCGGCCTGGAGAACGTAGACCTGTCGGGGGCGGGCCAGGATTCGGACGTCCGCGAACCGGTGATGAGGAAGATGGCGGTGAAGGAGAAGATGAAGCAGGCATGGAGCCCGGCGAGGGAGGGGACAACTCCACCTCCACCGGACCCGGTGGCAGGCCCTTTGGGCGGCCCGGGCCTGGTCGCAGACCTGGTCGACGCCCTGCCAGACCCGGTGACGAGGACGACGCTGGCTGTGATCGTGAAGACGGGGAGGACACACCGACCGGCGAAGGAGGTGGCGACGGGGAGGGAGGCGAGGTTCTTGGTGATGGAGACGCGAGTGACGGGGCAATGCAGCCCACTGACGGTGACGGGAGAGAGGAGAATACCCCACCCGTCGGTGATGGTGACAATGGAGCTATACCCAGTGGCGTGTAAACCATTAATGTTTGCATGCACAAAATTCTTGTAATGCAAGAAAACTTCATTTTATAACTATCCTGTAGGCTGTAGCATTGCAATGAATAACTCAAAGACGTACTATGTTATGGTCTTACACCCTGCCCCCTTAAGGTTCCGATTCTTCGATGGAGCCTCGCATCATTCTGCCCTTCTGACGGCCAGCGGCGTGACGGGGGGGGTGTGCAGCCCCTCCTTTGAAAAAGTGTCGTCCCCCAGTCGCCTCCCACTTGCATATCCTGATGTGATCACAATTATGCATTTGTGTACATGTATATTACGTCCAAAATCCAGTCAGCCTCCCACTTTAGCGTGAAGACCACCGCTCCCCCCCCCGCTCAGCATCCTGGCTACGCCACTGCTGTCGGCCCATCTGACGGCGCCATCAGCCAGCTTGCTCAGGACCTGAGTTAACAACCTCGTCTCAGCGGAGCAAGAGGTGTATTCATCCTTGTCACGACGACGCTGCTAAAGGAGTAAACAAGCAGATGATACGAAGATGCGTCTCCTTTACTGGAGGCCAACATCGCTCTATCAGGCATTGAATCAAACTACATGTATAAAATGGAGGCTACGAGCACATGACACTCTCACGAACCCTGAACCCTGTTGTCACTGTTTTAGGATTTCGCACGGATACTATAGGTGACTTTTCTTGGTGGTCGAGGACATACAACGATACTGCAATAAAGAAAGCAGTGCTTCCTGTATTTTCCTAGCATGTTTATTTGTACTTATTTTCAAGTTCAACAACCAAAAATCAGCCATGCCGATGGTGTTATTCGACAACCAGAATTAGACACCATTACTGCAGTGGCACAAATAGGTGGTACGCGCGCGCGTTACATGCCTCTTCGACCAATAGGATATCATGAGTTACCAAAAGCACGCGCGCGTCAAACTGAAGAATGTGCTTTGTTGCATGCCCTCGAGAGACAATTTTTCAAGTTTCAGTGCCGCGATTTTATTTGAGCGTTTGTCAGTAGGCCTCTTGGGGAACTCTTTGTTAGATTGAGACATTCAGTTCAAATAGAAAGAAAAGGATTAAGCTTGCTACTCGTAAAAACTTACAAATCTTCTTCCCTGAGAGACAAACATCGGGAGTAATTCAAGTTCCTCTAGCGCAGCCGGTGAATTTGTGGTCCATTTCTCACAATGCAAAAAAACTTTCCTTGGCAACCCCTTGGTGGCGCACTGTATTGTAAGTCTCTTGCATTAAGATATAAAAAGCCTTCGCGAAAGGCGATGAGTTTCCACAATTTTCAAAGATTATTTTCGAACTTTGAAAATTCGGATTCCGCCATTTTATTTATTATTTATTTATGAAGTTGAAATTTCACCCTTTCTTTGCGTATTATTTTATTCACCCGTCGTCAAATAGAAACTATTTTCGTAATGCTATGTCCAAAATAGAAGTTGAATGGCAAGAAGGATTTTTTTCCTGAACTCAACTTAAAAAGGAAGAAAAACCACGACCCAAAGCATAGGAAACAAAACCCCAAACAATGAAGTCAAAGTTACGCATTGTGTCAGTTCACACTCACTTCCATTTAATAATCCAAATAATTGTAAAACGACATAATAATTATTTCAGACAATTCAGTAAAAGACGTGTGTTCAACGTTCAATTCAATATCAGCGTTCAATATCAGCCCCGACCACAATCGGAGCAATGAAAAAACTTTTTCCAATATGTATGCAAGTACAAGGCGACGTCACATCTTCCATTCGAGATTGCTTGGAGACATCAAGGTCTTTGAAACGGTGCATTAGGGAAAGTTAAATCCCAATCCTGGCTCCAGTTTCGAAAATTGACAAAGAAATCATGCTAGATGCGCAGGATTTTGGATATCTTACGGTTGGGCAAAACATACAGGGAGAAAAAACAGACCAGCGTTTATGTTGGTTTATGATCTCTTTATACTACTGACCCCTTCGGATAAGGATGCCTTGGGTGTAAGTCCAAAATGGACGGCACAGTCCTTAACATAACTTGGTGCAGCATCATTTGTTTCTGACGGTGGACACATACCACGTGATGGCATCTTTCTACAAAAAGTTGTTCAAATGATATTGCTTGTTAAGAAAACAGAAAAGAATTTCAAGTTGAAAAGCTGGGAATAAAATTACTTGTCAAAGGAGGGTTGCATAGTACCTTAGGCACTCATGACATGATGTTTTAAAGAGGAATAAAGGCACACATTCCCTTGAAAGTGTTCTGTCGAGAAACATATCATCACGAACAGTTAGACTGTGATATTACATCACGTGGAACACGAAAAGTGCCACCAACGTCGAAGCAGACCGCTGAATAAGCCATTAAAAATGGACAAATTCAACGCTTCAGTATAACGTCTCAAAATTGTTCATACATTAAGACCGAGTCCTGTCAAAATACAGTCCTACTTAATCATTCCTGGGGAAACACTCATACGGTGCCTTACTCTAGAGTATAAAAAAGTAGGAAAATCACACTGAAAAAAGATGAACGGGCAGGTCATGGAAGGCACAAACAACATGGAAGTTCAATTGAATTGGTCCGTATGCCTTGCTACGATTACAATTTTCGTTGTTAAGTGTGCAATGTTTAACCCCAAGAGGGCGCTATAAACAATCTAAGAAGAGGGTTGATATTCTAGAATCGAGGCATGGCGCTGAAAAATCGTCCTAGAGCAGACATTTCTGTCAAGTATTGTGACAGCAGAGCTAGTTCTTTAACTTGGTACGAATCAGTTCATTGAATACAATAAATATCAAACAAGTAGGTTTTAGAGACCAAAAGGTCTGTATCTTCACATCAACTGTTATCTGAATACATATCAACTGTCAATATTATTACAATTCAATCTGCCGACGATTTATGCTCGAAGCTGCTGCATTCTATAATATAAACAGTAAACTGCAATTCTTAAAAGAGAGGAATGAAATCCTCAGATAACCTGTTCCATAAATATGTTACAGCTTTGCAGTACATCTGTATTTAAGTTTTATTTAAGTCTCCGAAGTAAAAACAATTTCAGAAAATGTTGGTGAAGTCTTTAGTCGATACTGAATTGAGGAAAGGGTGATTGATCTATCGCCGTTTGGTAAGTTAGCTACACCCCTTAGACAATCCTATGGAATTTGTTCGTTGAGTTTTGTTTGTCTCAGGTTTTGTACGTCTTGCGTCCATTTTTGTATTATGTAAATGGCTAATTGACATAAGCTGCATTGACAGGATTCTGTCGCGAATTGAATCACTACACTAAGTGTTCCTATATGTTACACAATAAGAGAGACCTTCCAACAATGAACTACAACTGGCTGTGGTAAGCTATGGTAATTAGGCCTACATCTTGTCTGACCGATCGGACATTCGTGTTACCGTACATCCAGTGTGGGTAACCAGTTTACATTGTATGTTCACTGCGTCCTATATATCGCGAAAAGAACAATCCACCCAGTAAGCCCCGCCCACTGCGCACGTAGAGAGAAGTGCTTCTCTCCAATGCCACACTACATGTTTCAGCCGCGCGCGTTATTATGTGCATGCACGTGCATAGGGTCTAGTGGAAATGAATCATGGTTTTTGATTGGTCAACATCGATTCGCAACCAACGATGCGACCAACCTCGACTGGTCGCGAATAGTTGACCAGACTAGTCCAACCATTGTCGAGAAGCGTGCGTTCGCTCAGATTTACCGATCTACGGTTATCTATGGTCCTTGATCGAACTTGCCCCAAGCTAGCACTGGACGAACACTCAGTCTGCGTTAAATTCCAGTTCCAGGGTTCCCTGTAGCACAACCTCGTCCTCATGGGTACGATCTTGATGCGCCATGCTGGTTCCGAACGCCATGCCTTGAGCGATCTTAAGTGAAGGAACGCACGCATATGCATGCCTTGAGCGATCTTAAGTGAAGGAACGCACGCGCAGCCCAAGGAGTCGAGGCTGCATGTGGCACAATGTGCAGTAGGCGTGGTTAAACTTCCGATGACGTCACATTGCGTTTACAAACCAGGACCGTTTTCACGGAGATGCTTAATAGCAGTAAAGTTGTACTAACTTTGCCAAAAAAAATTGCTGACCTGAAGAACTATTTCATAGCGATGATTGGCGTGGTTGTGCTAACAAATGCGCGTGCACACGTTAGCATGCCTTTGGCTGTGCTTACGTGTCTCCGTGAAATGCATGGAGACTGAGCGTGAAATCGTGTGCTACGCAGCGCCGTGAAGTTGGACCCAGGATAGACTTATCGTGTAGAATCGCTGTCACAACACACTCTGAGTAGACGGTCGCCAGTTCGTGGAATTCAAAACCAAAGACTTCTCCTGTTTTCAATACTCCTACAGTGCTAATGTACAGACCATGCAGTTGGAAACCCACTGCAACAACTATTAACCACAACTTCATTTCTGCAACAAACGTAGCACAGTTAATGACCAGCGTGAATTACATTACGGAAAGCTAATTATGTACAACGTGTTCTCTTACCATCAGCAAACACAACAACACAACACAAGAGGGCGCAGTACAACTGCTCCATTAATCCTCTCTGTTTAGTGCGAACATTATCCAATCTTGTGTGCTTCTGCCTGATCATCGCCGTTATTGTGTACTCACAGCGTTGTCGTCACTGAACGGAGTATGGTACTGTATTAAATACTATTCAGTTGGTATTTTAGTGTCTCGTGTTGAGTCTGACGGAGGTACTGAGGACAGACACTAGACTGGCATCGATATTTTTTCATATCAAATGTAACTTAAAGCTAATTTGCAAGATTTGTTTACAAGTATATACAGCTATATTTGTAATATATCGTACAGCATTTCTAGACTCTATTTTATGCACATAATAAAAAGCTACGTAAGGAAACATTCATCATACTGCTGATGCCGAATGCGAACTTTTCTTGAGCGGCTGATTTTTCTTGCGCGCCGGGCTGAGCCCTGTCGGTAAAGGGGTTTGGTTCTCGAAGAAAGTCCCCGGCAAGTTGGGAATGAAGTCGTCATACTCCGGCTCGTCCTGATCGATCGAGAAGTCGCTGTAGACCAGAACACTCTTGAGCTTGTTGGACGTTGGAGAGAAGCCCGAGGGAGGGGTGTTGGGGAGACGGCGGGGCGTGCGTGGTGTCATGCCCGACCGGGAGCTCTCCCCACCGGAGAAAGTCTTGGCCAAGCTCTCGTCGCTAATGAACACTGACTTGAGTCTGTCGGTGTTCTGCTTTTTATCCAGCTCCGGAATGCGAACGGGCGAGGTGGGCTCACTCAGTAAGTTTGTGGCGCTGGCGTCATCGGACTCTGCGGTGCTGTATAGGGCAAGCTTAGCGGCTGTCCGTCCATCCTCGTCTCCTGACGAAGTGCGCTTACTCTCGGACTTTCGTGTCTTCCGCGCGCTGCTGGCATGGGGAATCTTTTTCCGTTTGGAGCGGCCACCGGCGCCAGAGTTATTTCTATCGGGGAATCGCTTCGAATTGCCCGTATGTCCGGGAGCAAGTTCGCCAGGAGAGGATAGTGGTGACGTCACTCCTTTGTTGCTTATGTCCACAACCTCGTTCTTTTTTGGGCTAAAAGTTGACCTAGGGCTTCTTATTTGCATGTTGTCCTTTGACGAAATGTCAGTCATAGGGGTGACAACCCCAAGACTCTCTGTGTCCTCAAAGAAGGCTTGTCTTGGGGTCAGAGGTAGCTTTCGAGGCCTTTGACCGCTCGGGGATTCTCCGTTGACCAAGGGTTGTTGTACCCCGACCGGATGCACGCTATTTTCGCCGTGCGCGGACTTTTTTCTGTTTACCGGTGTGTTTCTATTGATCTCGGCCACTGTCCTCCCTTCGTTAGGAGTCGGAGGCCACTTGGTGACATGGTTCACGGGTGCCGGCTGTCCCTCGGGTATGTGAGGCAAAACTTCCGGAGTTCTGAACTCATTCTGATTGAAAGTTTGATTTCGGGAGAGGGCCATGCCTAGGGGTGTGAGCTGGCCCTCTTTATTTACGCACGGCAGGTTGCTGTCGAAGCCGTGGTCGCTGCGGTGATCACTCCGGTGGTCGCTGTGGTGATGATCGCTCTTATGATCACTATGGCGGTTATCGCTATGGCGATGGTCACTATGACGTTGGTCACTATGCCGTTGGTCACTGTTCCTGTGTTCACTCCGGTTGTCACTACGGTGATCACTACGGGGTAGGGAGCCATACTTCTGCTCGAAGCTGGTCAGACTACCAGCGGCACTGTAGCCACGCATCGCCAGGTATTCCGGTGTTTTGGTGGCCAGCGTAGTGGTATTCTTATCCGTCCTGCCGCTGTGGCGGCTGACCTCGCTCTGCGAACTGCCCGTGCCAATGTGGTAGGGTAGACCCACCTTGCGCAAGCGCTCCATCTGGATAAAGTCGGTGCGGGGCGAATGGTAGGGGCTCGGGATCTTGTCCTCGGGAATCTTGGGAGGTCTCCTCACCCCCGTGGTATCGCTGCTGTGCGTGTGATACGGCGAAGACAGGCTCACGTTGGACTCCGGCAGGTAGGCCAGCCCTTCGTCCTGGACCATGTAAAGCTGGCTGCGGTCGCCTAGATGACCGTCTGGCCGACCCCTCTTGCCAGATTGGTGCGACATCTCCGACTGCGAGGAGCAGCTGTGGCCGGGTGGGCCCCACGGCCGCTGGCCGCCGCCCGCCGAGGCGATGGAGGAGCCGGGTCCCGGGTTGGGCCGCAACTCAATCTCAGTGGCACTCTTCGACTTCCTGCAGCCGGTGAAGACGGTGATGACGATGGAAACGAGGATGACAGCGGCACACAGGAAGATCCCTACCATCATTACCGTGTTATTGATGGAGCCCAGGTTCAGACCGGCTGCCTCCTCGTCACCCGTGGAGCCCGCCGCCACCGGCGTGGTCGGGGGAATACCGCCGTCTGTACAGTTAAAAAAAATACATACACAACATTGTTAATTAACTGGGCAACAAGCCCCCGATTTGCTCAGGTTGGAACCAGCGTGGAAGGAAGGTCACCCCAATGCTTGGAAACAAGCCTCGAATTCAGAAGAAAATAAGCCATCGTTACTGGTGGACATATTTACAAGAACTCACGAAAGTTTCAAATTGACAAAGCTCGCATTTGTTATGACTTTGGTACTGCTGTCCTCGTTTATATACCGTCCCTTAGAGACTGCGCGGACCATTTCTCATGGCAGGTCGTCCTTTCAGTAGGATATCCAATGCTACTTGTACCCCCTTTCACATTTTTGATTGGTGGATTCGGGCGCGCAATGTTTCGTTGCTGGGTTACCAGCTATTGACATCATATCGCTACAGATGGAAACAATATGTGATAAATGGTGCCGGTGGGACCTGTAGCGCATGCGGTGTGAAGTTCGTGAGATAATTTCCATCGCTGTCTCTAAAACCGCACAGTCGAGTCAGTTGCCTATGGGGGGAGGGTTGTATTGGGGCACCTTCCCCCCCCCTCAAGGTATGTCGGCCTAACTCCATTTATCCGAGCTCAGAATTTAAAAAGACCCTCCAAAGTGTAGTGTTGATTAAAAATTTGACCATACTCATTGATTCAAGATAATGGTCCAGAAAAACTGCCAGATGGATCAAACTAGACTCCATTACCACGGCCCGTCAGTGAAGCTCAAAACATTCCCCCCAAAAATTGCTTTCTATGATTAGGCCGTAGATTGGTAAGTATCACCTTTATGTTTAATATATATATATACATAAATACACTTTTTTCAATTTTGAGAGTTGTGGCTGGAGCTGTTTTTTCATGATTGTTATTTCTGGTCCTCTCTGTATATTATGAATGGTTCCACAGCATGAAATGCACAGCTAATCATCCGCGTACTCAAGATTAACGGCCGGGGGTCATGACCTCATAAAAAGGCAGCCATCATTCTACATCCGGCGGCTAATGTCAGACGGGGTCAAAGGTCAAGACACAACAAGAGACCTGTGGAAAATACAGCAACAAGCCAAATTTTTGAGTCAACTTGTTTATGGCTTTGTCAAGGTTTTACGGACAACATTTGCGCAGTTTTAGAGCATGGGAAAACAATTGCGCGGTCGACTTAATGTCGAGAGGCTAACGTCAAACGCGGATGGTATTACACCTGTCACGAATAAATATACATGTACCACGCACACATTTTTCATAAGTTCAACTTCAAGACTTCGTTTTCTTGAAAGACCCCACCTATTCGACATTAATATCGAATCAAAACTGCACCATGGGGCCAGAATAACCATATCATATTAGGTACATTATGTTTTATTTAAATATATATGGTTACAAAAATTCAAGAGCTGAATCAGAAACGGATCATCACAAAGTCACTGAAATTAAGCAGCTGACTGACTTTAAAACTCTCCAGTCACCAAAACATGCACTATATCAAGCTCTCTGGGCAGCTAACCAAATCGGAAGATTCAAACTGTAATTATATGCGATTGAAATTTCGAGCAACTCCCGACTCTGATCGAAGAATATTAGGTAAGTCAGCAATACACCCGAGGCTGGCACCTTTTACTGCATGTATGTTAAAGTACAGAAAGAGGGTAACGACGTCATGCATTACACGCACAAGCGCGTATTTGCCTACTTTTAAAACGACTCTCGGTCAACTCTTGCGCACGCGCGGGGAAGTCCTTTGAACTGCGCACACTCTCGATGCCCATATCCATTCAGACGATCAGGAGATAGCCATAGCCATTTCTGCGCATGTCCTGGAAGAAATAGACACTAAAAGCAGGTTTATGGGTGGCCATCGTACTGTCCCTGTGCGAGCCGCGCAGGGACAAATCACCTTTCGACAAACTGCCTGGTTAAGGTAGTAACTATCACGGTCACCTGTGACCCCAACCAGTCATTAATGTGAAGCCGGGGTCACAGGTCGAATAAATATTATTCTTAGACTCAGGCTCGGACCATTAATCGTTTGACGAAGAGAAACCAAACGCCACGAAACGATCATCAGTCCCTAGCACCCGCCGTTTCTGAGGCGAGGCAGCCCAACTTCAGGCGTGATTCGTGGTCGTATAGCGCAGCAGCCAGACAAATTAAACCGTCTTTGATGAAGTCGTATAAACGTATACACTAAAAAGGCGCGTGAATACCTCGTCGAAATTCCAAATGTTTAAAATGCAAATCCCGGGCAAAACTCTCCCAGAGCTACACATGTAGCTGAGTCCCTAACGTGAATATCAGCCCTACCCATCTTCCTACGGAGTTCGTTTTCTAAAACTTCCATATTACCACTGAGGACAAAATAACGAAACTTGTCCAAAAAACTTTATTTCGGCACCGTCACGATCGCTGACAGTATTTATGTCATTAAAGCAGTAAGGCTGGTTTTAAATTTGCTTTTCTTTCGATGGCCGCTAGAGAGACGCTGTTGTAGTGAGCGCGTCACATCTGATGGATCACCGCGTGCCATTTCGCGAGTCGGCACTATGGATGAGCAATCATTCCACAAATACTGACCGACCGTGGACGTTATTGAAAATGTCTCCCGTCTTGATTTACACACCAACTAATAACAAATTAGGGCATCTTTGAGCACCCATTTCGGCTGGGTGCAGTCGTAAACGTACTCGGGCACGATGAAAGATTGTCGTAAATGGAGATACTCTAGTCTTCCCACTGTTTGAATCTCTCGCTCTCTCTCTGTCTCAAACAAATTTGTCTCACCATGAATGAGTCTCGGTATTTCGATTTGCTACCAATCACAGAAATCAAAAACTCGTTTCTTTTTACTGTTTCATTGGATTCACCCCCCCCCCAAAAAAACCCCAGTTTTACAAAGGAATGCATATCAAAGCAAAGCACGGCAAAATGGGTGATTACTGTCAAGCTCAATGAAATATTGAAATGTTCATTTAGTTAATTTAGTCGTTTAAAACATAGGCTTTCTTAACTTACTGTGAAAATGCCCTTTATAATTATTGGTTTTTCTAATACAATCTTGTAGCTTGATTTCGTTTCTTTTCTTTTAGAGTCCAATCTTTCCGACTATAATGCGTACGTCGACTGTACAAGCTACAAGCCCGTCCAAGGAGGCCCGGATAAAGACTTAAATATGCAGACTCAACCTCCCGCGAGGATAAAATCAATTATACACCGTGGCTGATCCGTAAATCATCTACAGCTATTTAAAACGCTTAGTGTCGCCAATCCGCCCATCCATGATAACAACTCCCGCCGTCACGTAATCCTGCTCCATCTCTGGCGTTTATCTAGTTCATAACCCTGTGCACATGGCGACTTTTGGTCGAGTTTTGAGAAAACACGACATCTCTTGAGAGAATGAATAAATTACTTTACAGGCCCGTAGGGAGGGGGTTGCAGGAGGTGCGTCCGCAAACGCCCCCGAGCGACTAAAACGTCCGCTTTTGAAGCAAGAAGAAAAAACTGGAGCTATAATAGAACATTTTGCGAAAAAAAAATTCGTGCGCTTCGGTATATTTCGCCTCGGTCAATCCCCTGTTCGGGACTTTGCTTGTAACACCCCTAAAACAATTGGTACGACCTCATGAATCCTGTTATGTTTCAACATAAAAAAAGCACTAGATCTAGGCTTAGTCCGCTTCGATGAGGATTCGCACCCCCCCACGAAAAAAGTCCTTGTCACGGGCCTGCTGTATTAAGTGGGTTCCCTGTGTGCCAAGCCACACTATGACTATATCTTTCTTCGAAAACGCTAAAATGAACAGAATGACAACCCCCTTAGTTTCCTATAAGGGAACAAGATCCTTTCCAGTTGCAAGGACTGACCAGAAACCCTGGACCAGGCACTTTGCTTCTACTATTCAAACCTATACATCACATTTAACACTCAATTAAAACTACAGAGCAAGAAGCTGTTGTATAAGTGAAGTTGATGGCTCAATGTAGCCTACGCACAAAAGAGACACAAAAACATGACCTGAATACGGAATTGACACATTTATCTCTTAAAGTTTCAGGCCTCAGTTATTTTGGTCACTTCTAGAGAGGGCGTGCATTTTATTTTAACTGGCCCGGCAGAGATCATAACGTATTTCATATTCAGCACCACGACAATATAGATCATAACACCTTGCTTGACACGCTCTTTGCAACGAGGTTGCAAGTCACTACTCGAATCTATGTTCCCCGAAGTAATGCATACTTGAAGTAGATCGTCTGTATTTCAAATACTGACCCACCCCTTTTTGTGAAAATAAATAAATAAGACCCCCCTGAGAGAAATAATTGTTAATTTGGCACGATTTCAAACACTGACACACTCGGAGACGTAAACATTTACCTACCGTTCATGGTTGTCAGCTAACGATCTGGCGGCGTGCTGCGCGCTGTGAAACACGAGGAGAAATGCCGGCAGAAACGGAGGGAAAAACCGACACTGGCCTCACTGCAAGTTCAAGTCTGAAATATTATATATTTCACCTATTCTGATCCCATAATTCAAGGCCCACTTCTACTACTTGGCGGGACCCATTCACGTGCCGTGTGCGGTCACTCACTTGACATCTGTCAGCCAAACCGCCGGCTACCACTTCATCATCACTTCCATGACAACCCCCAAAGTGGCATAAACATAATCGACCGCCATTTTGGTTTGCAAGTGTCGAGTTGTTTGAATAAATTTCGTCATCTCCTCCAAAAATACCTTCTAAGGTGTCGTTAAAAAATCTTTGCGGGGGAGACCAACTGGGTCAAAAGAATGTTGCACTTCATTTTCTCTACAAGTTGGAATTTTCTCGAAACCAAACCCCAATACACCAGAATACTAAATCAAACTAGATTAGATTGGTCCCAACAGGCAAATGTTACAATGATGGTTGGGAGCCTGTATACACGTGTCTAAGGTGTAACATCAACGCCGTGCGTTACCCGTGTGACGTATGCACTCGTACAATATATTAAAAAGGTGTGTTTAACTGCACAAGGTTTTCACCACGGATTTCTTGCAATGAGACAAGTCCGCAACATTTTACAAACAGTTGTAAAATGCATACGACCAACGCGGCTGACATCACGAATCCGTCTGCACTTTGAAGTGTAAAATTCAGCAAGAAGGCAACATCGACCTCCTTGGACAAGTGAAATCCAATAGTCCACCCTTTTCCCTTCTAATTTTCTGCTCCTGAACACCCAATTACCTGGTCGTCTCAGGCCGTTTAAGGCTCTGGGGAGGGCGTGTAAGTGGATCAGCGGCCGAACTGATTGGATATGTCAGCGGCTGAAACACGGTCTGTTGGGGAGGACGCGCCAGAAGACTCATTGGATCGGGAAAAGTCATCGAGGGGGAGAATATCACGCAAGGAGTAAATTGAGGAATAAAATTCGTTGGACTGTTGTCAGCGCACTTTCTCATTGCTGTCTGACCTCAATTTAGAGCGCTCAAGAGCCAGCACTTGTGTTTGTAATGGCTAAAACAATCCTTAAAAACAAGATCATCCAGCAGAAATTCTGCAATGATTTTGATAAAATAAGAAAACCACACGCTCCGTCACCCAATCTGTTGGTTAGTCAGAAGTTGGTAAGCAAAATGTGGGGGACGGTAACGCATTACAAAAAGCGCGGGTTTCTTTTTTCATACACCCACAAAATCATTAGTTCCTTCTTACCAAGACTACTGTAGCGGACCCGAAAGCCACGGTCTGGTTCCCCACCGCTGTACACCTTGTATTCGATGTACAACCGATTGCCGGTGGACTCCACGACAGCCGGCAGCCGGCTGCCCGTGTGGTAGGCCAGCACCTTAGCCCGCTGATCTCCACCGTCCCTGATCCGCATCCATTCCTCCTGCGGGTGCAGGTTGAAGGCTCGGAACTCCAGTCGCACCCGCTGGTGGTCCGACCCCACCACCAACCAGGTCAGCACCTGTCCGCCCGGGGACGCCACGGTGCCTTCGGTCAGTGGGGAGGTACAATCGTAGGGTGACGAGGCGATAATGCCGCCGGGGTCGGCGTGCAGCGTGCAGCCGCCGCAGGTGCAGTTGGGCTTGACGGTGGGCTCAGAGACCATGTCTGTTGGATCTGATGGGGTGTGACAATATTTCCTGTGTAGTTTATACAGCAATCATCATAAGCTAATTGCAGGAGCGTTGTTCTCTTCAGTTATACTCAAGAGGATGGATTTTCAGAGATCAACTTTCAGAGGAACCATGATCTTTTCGCAGTTGGATCTAGTGAGTTTTTTCTATTGCTGATTTTCATTTGTCACTCTTCATTGAACGTTAGACCTGAATAAATGATAGTTTCTGCATTTCCTGAACATGTTTTCATATTACACTTAAACAGCGAGGGAGGGAGGGAGTTGGCGTACGGATGATCCTATCGTACTAAATCTGCATTATTTAAAGATATTTGTCCCACCTGTGTGCGCTGGACACACTCCGTAATTGCAAAGTTGAGACATGACGGTCTCGCCGACGCAAAGGGCGCCACCATTGGCGGCCGGTGGGTTATTGCACAGTCGATACCGGTTGCGTTGACCCTCGCCGCAGGTCACGGTGCATGCGCCCCAGTCGGACCACACGCTCCAGGATCCGTCCACAGGTGGGCCTGCGAGAGAAAGGGTGAAAAGACGGGGGGAGATGTGAACGGCCCCATACTTAAATCATTGATTGACTTTCAATAGCACGAACATTGTCGTCTGGTTCCTTATCCCAACACACTCCGACGCCTTTTGCATAAGGTCACGTATTCCCCTGCCGTCAAAAACGACACATAGAGTGTAATGTCGGTATGCCAGGACGTCCATTTTAAGATGCAACATGTGGCAGTTTGCATTTCAAAACAAAAGTTTAAAAAGACAAAGATTCGGAATATTGTGGATGATTTCAGAAATGTTTAGAAGCGTCGGGTCACGGAACCTTGGCGATCAGCTGACGTAAATGATTCTCTAAAACAGTCCTTTGGGTAAGGAACAGAGTATTAACGCTAATGAGGCTATATTAAGTATTCAATTAGTATCCCATAATAAGTAGTTTGTAGTTGGACGACTTACAATTATTGTTTTGTGAGAACCTGACTTCAATGTTGGGTTTCTAAACATGCACCTTTTCAAACTCACATATCACAGAAAGTAAAGCTTTCTGAAATCTAAACCAAACCAAATTGTCAAGACCCAAAAAAAGTTCGTTCGGTGGTTCAAAACAGACAAAGTGATTACATTTCTAGCGAAAAGCAGCCAGACGTAAACCGTTAACAAAACCTGAACTTAAACTCGCCCCCTTTCCTCAGTTTCATAATTAAGAGCCGAGCTACCGTATGATACGCATCTACACGCCATTGGAGTCTCTCTCCAAGTCGATAATACGACCCTAGGGCTTCCTAAATGCGGCGTCACGGTGGTCACTGCAATAACACAGCCAGGGCACGAATACACTCCTGACGAGGAATCGGTAATGATTCGGGACAGTGCTTCACGGTTTCTCGATCATCGTCATCATCATTATCATGTGAAAAGCACGAGGGGAGCCTTTGAGCCAACATCGTGTTGACAAATCTACGGGGACTTTACGCTTTGGAAGTTGGAAGCAATTTAGAACATAAGTTTGCAAGTCGTCAAATAATAACCACGCTTCAGCCCTTTGTCGAGAGGTCCCATGAAAGCATGCCTTCTGACATGCCGTGAGTATGGTAGCCCTGGAGGGACATCGCCAATCGTCAATATTTACGTCAATATTTGCGACCAAATTCACGACTCGTTGTGTCTCCAGTCGCAATTATTGCCACGATTTTTTTCCAGCAAGCTTGGTGGAAATGAAGCGTTCACACGCACGCGCAATGACCTACATTTTTCGGCTTGATCTCAAGTCGTTATTCGACTGGGCAGCTTTGGCACAACACAGGGGGGCAAAACGTTAAAAAGCACTTGCTGTGTCTATAGCCGAGCGATTCCTCTCTCTACCTGGCTTGTTGGAAAAAAATCGCGGCAATATTTTTGACGAGTCATGAATTTGGTCGTGAATGTTCACGGCAATATTCGCGACCGAAGAGTGGGTCGTAAATTTGGTCGCAAATATTGACTTCAATATTGACGATTGGCGATGTCCCTCCAGGGCCACCATACGTGAGCAATTGAACCAAAAGTATGATTAGGGATAACCCTTACTTACAGGGAAGCCATTTTTGATCGTCTTCCCCGAATCTATCATGTTCAATGGATTCTGGTAAATGAGGTGGTGCCAAACGATTTTGGATTTCAAACCTCAATTTCTTTTTAAGATGCGGCTCAAAAGATTTACATATAATTTATTACAAATTTTAGCTTATCCAAAATGTAAAACTGGCATTAATTAATGACTTTTTATTGATGACGTTTTGTAGATGTTATTCTTACTTCGAAGTTCCAAAAAGAAATGTTCACCTCACTTTCAATTCAAGATGGCCGACACATGAACAAGTCTATAGGGTCAATCCTGGACACACATCGGTCGCATTGGGTGTGTTCGAGTAGCTTCCACGAGGCCACCCCTCATGTTGGGATCGCCGTGTACGCTGCGTGTGCCAGAATGAGGGTTGGCAGTTGAGCCAGTGTTAACTCTTGGAAGAAACTTGAACGCACCCACTGTGGGCAACACGAAGAAGGCTATGTTTGTATCTTGGAGTCAGCGTGAATACCGGTATGCATTTGTACACAGTACAGAGCTGGTTACTCAGTTCGATGAAGATCGCCCTCTACAGCAAGTTTTGAGTGAATTTCAACCTTATCAATCAGTCCACATGTGAATTTCACAAGTGTATCGGGGACAGCATTCAAGTATTTTCCCCGAAGGTGTGAAGTTGAAGTTTGAAGGCAAGTTAGCAAACTCTGACAGCATAAAAAGAAAAGCCAATTGTCTTTTTTTCACAACAGGCGTCGACAAAATTGGGCCAGCTCCGAATTCTGATGGGAAATTTATCATCAGGGCATATCTTTACTGTCTGGAGGGCAGTGCTATCTTTCCTGCCAATTATCTCTCCACCTGCCGTATCGTCTGCGCGAGATGCCCAACGTACGCGCACTAGCAAACCGGGAGGAAATCACACACAAACACCGCGCATCCCCGGGGCGAGTAACGAGACTGTACACGGTTAATTCGCCTTTCCCCAAACTGCCTAGATATTGTTTCGACTTCCCTTAACTTCCCGGGGGCCCATGCACCTTTTCCTGTCCGCTCGCTTATACCACTCGCGGACGGTCGGCGGTGACTCATTCTGCGTTCCCCCTTCATTTTTTAATATTTCGCAATGGATTGTGGGATACTCAGTTCCCTGGGTGGTTATTTCATTTCAAAATGCAGTACCAGGCAAGCGAAATATAATACAAAGACAGCCGTGCGAGTTGCGACTATTTTTTGGTCACTGGCGGTTTCTTGTAATGAATCTGTTCTGGCCGTTTTCAGGCCTACCATCATACAGCAGTAATTATATTGAATTACGACCTTGCAGTGAGACTGTCGCGATAGGAGACGGTAACGGTGCCAGTCTATGTGATCCTTCGCAATATATTTGACTGGCTTATGGTAAAAGAGGGCAAGTCCCGGAAGCCTGGAACAGTCAGCACCATTAACGATAATTAGTCGGACCGTTTGAAAGGATCGAGCAGCCCAATCCGCGAGAATGGAATTCGGTTTCTGAGTACGTTCTTGAAGGTGTCCGTTATCATGGCTGGTCTTATGCATGCACTGAGCTCGCTGGCAAATCTTTAAAATCAGCCTATAAAGGTGATAAACATTTAACAGCCAACATTAAATGATATCCCATTTCTTCTTTGAAGTTTGTTGACGGAGCAAAAGGATATTTCATGCAAATTGAAGAACGCAGGAAGCATTTTGTTTGGCTATGGGCGACCGATCTCCTAGTGCGGAGTACTAAGGGGGAAATCCTTAGGATTTTGAGATCCATGAAACTCAGGCTCATTTGGCTTTTCACGCCTCGTCCTTTGACGACAGATTCAATTGGTAATTGATTTTTTTGGGGGAGGGGCAAAGAGGGAATAAAGGTAAAATTTATTCCATGCGCGTGACAATGCCCCGAGGCTGCAGCTAAACATTTACCGTACAACCAGTGGTAATTATGATTTCAAAAAACGAGGGAAGAACAGCGAATTACTTTCCCGCCCGCCGGGCATGCGCGCTGCTTATACTAGATGTGGGAGTTTCCACAAATCGCGTTTCGTCCACGGGCAATTATTGTGGTATAATTAGTGACGGCCCAGCAGGGACTACATGAGAGGCCATGTCACTCTGGAAGGTTAGGAAAATAAACACCCTACAGCTGGCGCGAGAATTCACTTGAAATGGAGCTCACCGTGAGATTTATGGGCTGACACTGGGAAATATATTGCCTTCAAACATGTACAGTCTTATTACGTTGTCATTTCAGAAACACTCTCCGCATGGGATACACCATCGGAATTTTTCCTATTTCCATTCGGAAATTACTTAATAGTCGTTTCTGAAAGTTAAAATGTGTTTTTGTGGAGGCAGGGGGACTAGTTCCAAATCAAGTGTTTTTCATTGTGTGTATTTTATTTAATAGAAAAAACACATTGCTTTCAAATTCACTTTGTCATCTTACTTGAAGTATTAATATTGTTATTTTGGAGTATGGCAGATTTGTAAAAAGAAATAACACAGGGCTTAACTTGATTTACAGTTACATTTTTTTACGTTAAAGTGTATCGTCTGTGTTAATTTTTTTCTTTTTCAGTATTTTTATATCTTCCTTTGTAATCTTTTTCTTCTTTTTTTAATCATTAAGGCCTATGACTTTAAATCTTCATTTTTTTAAATATGTAAATCAAACCACAATTCGACCACTAAAACGGTCGCGAGAGTTTGGTAATAAATAAATAAAAAGAGGAAAAAAGGTGAAAATCACTTCGGTGAGCACTGATAGCGCCGTTTGCATTGAGTTTCTGTACGAGGAAACCAGTGAGTTGGTTAGTGCTAAAAGAACGACTTACTAAACGGACTGACTATCCGTACGGCTTTCTTGGTGCTTCTTGATGTCGTTATACAATAACACCTGCGACAACCTTTTTAATTCAAAAATTTGCAAATGGTTCAGAACATTGGTTACTTCGACGTGCGCAAAATAAACAGCAATAATAGTTTACAGATCTCTCGCTGTCAAATCAAGTGAACAATTGGAAACTAAATAGTTTGGCAGAATTATTCACTCCAAATCGGAGAGTTCCAAAACGGCCACCTGTTCTCTTTGGGAAAATCGATATATGACAATTGTTTTTAACCTTGGCTTTGTCCGTGACTTCAACTCAAAAGTTCTAAGGTCAAAGTTTAGAGTATACTTGCATTAAGTTCGTACATTTAATACAGGGAAGGAGGCTGTTACTTCCGTCAAACCCTTTAAGTTTGAACTTCCATCAGAACGGCTAGTGAGCCTTACCCCAAGAACACCGAATGTCCCTCGGGCCAATAGCCTTTCTACACTGGGCCGGGGTCGATCGAGTTCGTATGAAATGATGATACGCGGCACGAAACAAAAAAGGAAGAAATTTGTTGCACCAGGGTAATAAATTGGCTGACACGTGGTTGGGCTTGTTGTTTCAGATGCCCCAGCGCGTCAAGCGATGCCGGATTATGATGCAGAATAAATGTTTGTAAAAAATTTAAAGGTTGTATAAATATGACCCGGAGGAATGACGGACACAGTGCGTCGACACTGGAACCCTGAATGACAAATGGCATCTACGCGCAATCGAAATCGTCATTTTTTTCCTGCTTGAACCACAAACACCGATGTGGTTAAAGAGATGAGAAGTTCTTCGTATTTTGGTCCGGAATTCGACAAAACCTTTCAAAGTACTGCAAGACTAATGCGTTATCTTCCTAACCCGTGCGCGCTCATTCATTACCAAAGAATATTCTTACATGGGTTTCACATAACAGGTTATAAAAACAGGAATTCCTCCTCAACGTCAAACCATAAGGATCACGGCCCTTTACATCTAACTATGCTAGATCCAACATTATGATTTCAATAGTCCTTCTGGGAAAGGTTTATCGGCTAAGATCTTTTACAATATTTCCAAAGATACGATTACAAACTCACAGACATTTTTGGAAAAAAAAGAACAAATTGCTGCAACAAAATCCTTCAGGGTTAAAATATCAATTCACAGTTGGCATGATTAGTTTCAGCTTGTTGTGTGAAATTCAATCGACAATAGGCCTAATTCACACCGAGGACACTATTAATGTAATTACTACACTAACTGTTTTCAGGCTATGACATGAATTAACATGTGCATGGCTGTCTGAAGCGTACTCCGCTATACTTTTGGAATCATGACTTCAGGGGCATGGACCTACATTTTTTTATGCTTCCAACCAGCCTGAGGTAGCGCATAGCGGGCCTCGGCAATATTTCACTTGTGACCTGCTGCCATCCACTTTTGCAGTTAACAAGTGGAGCTCCGAGGCACAACGTTCCAGGTCTCCTTTTCAATTGCGGCATGCCCCGCATGCTGGACGGGGCCTTTGGTCCCTAATTCGGGGGACGGGCCCAGTTTGTGAAGGTATTTGGGTCTCATCTCCATTCGTCACCATGGATTGAATAGAGGACAGTCGGAGACGGAATCGGCAACATTATGTGGGCCATGTTTATAGGGTTAGTGACACCAGTTGTGAAATAGGTCTAAGCTTTGCGGGCGTTATAAACGCCTTTCCCTTCGAATGGACACAAATTTCCAACACAGACGCACAGTATAAATGTGGAACATAAAGGGTCATGGTCTTCGAGGTCCCTGTCCTTCAGATCCCTGATTTGATTTATTTTCCATACGGTGCACTTTTGGGTGAATGTTTGAAAAAACCGTTGCTCGGCGGGCCTTGAGTAAACGTCCAGTTCTATAAAGTTGTCTGTTTCCAGTTGGAGCCTATGCCTATACTCGGGAAGCATTGAGATATATCCAAATGGATTCCCCCTCCAGAGCGAATTCGATAGGGAATTTGTTTTCGTTTCATTCTGAGCTCCTCGTTATGAATGGGAAATCTTGACCAAGGGTTATTTTTACTGGATTTGTCCAATTTTCCATCTAGGCCCCTACATCATTATACAACGCATTACGCATACTCGTAAACCGGAAAGTCAGGCACAGGTAATCTTAAAATCAATGGGGTAGGGAGCTAGGCGCGACCCATCCAATCTGACTGTTCACCGCCGTTAAAAAGAGGCATTAACAGCAAAATGGTAACAATCGAAACGTTAAGGTAATGTCATCATACGATTTGTTATAGGTGCCAGGCTAATAAACGAGACCTAATCTATAACACGTTGAAGCTAGCAGTTTTCCTGGATTAAAACAAACTTCGAGGCTGCAAATAACTATTCAAAACTTAACCTTTTCAGCAGGTAACAAATTGAAAAAGTTACAATCCAGGATTCAAACCACAAACATCCGTCAGAATTATTATTCCTTTTCCTCACTATTCCACGCAAGCTAGCTCGACCGCCCCTTTTTCCTGCCTTGTGCCCACGACCCTATATGCTGCTGCTGCAGGTGTTTATTATAATGTATTACCTGCAGTATGGAGGCATTTTGCTCTGTAAGCCTCAGTAGCTGCGGATAGCCCCATCGGTTGAGCATGCTATGTGCAAGTCGAACTCAAGACACATGTTAAGGTCTAACATTGTCACATTAGCCGTCGAAAATCAGGTCTTTAAGTGCAAACTTCCGTCCACGTGAAAACCCGAACGCGAGACTGTTATGTGTAGTGTCGGGTTGATCTGCCCGATGTCTACAGATCCTTTGAATCTGAGTACTCCCGTTGCCGCGAGGAAAGCTAACATTTTAAGAAAAGCGCACTTATTTCTTACTCGTTCGTTTCTTTCCTTAGGTTGATCACTCCATAATCTCTCGTGGTACGATTTCACTGTCAGAACGCATCTCGCATCCGATTGACAAAGGGACTGGGCCATTAGACGGATATGGACGAGGCGATGGCGGTGTTTTTTTTTTCCTCCAACCCCATCAGAAAAATTCAATTGAACGCGGATGTGCGAGCGATGGCCTTGTCAGCGCACACTAATGAAGACATATGACCCGACTCTGTTTTAGAATGACGGTGCCTCCGGTGGTAAACTGACGAAATATAATATTTCTGCAGTCAGGCGACTGCCGTGCACGGTGCTTTGTTATAAACCCCAGCACAGTGGACGAATGTAAAAGTCCACTGACGACCTTAAAAACGTCTGCCTAGGTAGAGCTGTAACCATTTTTTAGACCAAACTACCAAGAATTTTAATTTAAAATTCGACGAAAACTTATTGGAATTACAGAAATGAAACTAGAAATAACATTTCGGTAAAAAGGATCTAGTCAAAATCTGTCAAGGAAGGAGTCACATTTCCGCGGCGGAACTGACATCCCCCTGAAAGGTCTAGCTTTATACAATCAAGCACAGCTTTCTAAGCGTTTCTTTTAAAAGCTTTTCGTCTTTTCGTAATAAAGAATGTTTACAACGAGAACCGGGGCACTGCACAAATAAATCTCCAGAAAGCCACTCAGTGCCGAGTTGCTTGGCGATCTCTTTGCGCTGAGAACGGTTTCTGTTTCACCTGTTAGGAGCCATTATAAATTGGACGGCATTTTCCACATTTTATTTTTTATACTTTTTTGGCTGATGGAACTCGCTGCCGACAGTGCGTGTTTGTACACACAAGCCGGGCAATCTGCGACACAAAGATAGCGGCCAGGCACCGTTTGATGTGTCCGACTCCCGGCATGATTTAGTAGAATCTCAGAGCATGCAGGCTCGGGGAAAGAACGGAAGGCGCCTCGCGATGGATTGAAGAACAAAGTGTAAGTGCTGCGAGTGGTGTGCCTTCCTTGTTATTCTCGAAATATTCCGGGGTGCGATTTTATACTGTGTACGGAAAAAGTGAAAGACGATTTGTTTTTTTTCGTCTCGGGACACCTGCTATCAGAAGCCTCACCGGTAGAACGTGACTGACCAAAAGATGGCTTGATCAGCGGTCGCGGGCAGGCTTTCCCGCTGAAAGTGCCCTCGGGGGCAAGTTGAGAATGAAAGGATGGAAACAACACCGGAACGCTATATCCAGACGAGATCCGACCGGAGCCTCTCACGCAAACATTTCGGGTCGCGCGAACAACCTTCATAAAGAATTTCGCAGCACTACAACGGTAAATGCTCACTTGTTAGCATTTTGGGTCTAAACAGAGTACATAAGGTTGGAGTGCAAGGTGACATTTTTGAGGAATGTCTGTTTCCGGTAACGATCGACATAAAAATTAAAGGCAAGCTTAAAAACTAATGATAAAGGGCACTGTAGCCCCAGTTCTACCGAAAACATTCAAGCACAGGAATGCTTCATTTCTACAGGTTGGAGTGCTTGCCAGGCGGGTACAATTAATCATGAATGCTCGCGTGGATTTTATGAGACTCATTACATCTGATTAGACAATTGTAAAGAGCCTGACAAACAGAGATGCCAGTTCAAACCCCACTGTATGGGAGAACGGATGACAAATCACAGTGCTCAAATGTTGCTGTGCTGTCACGATGCTCGATCGAGCTAAAAAAATCAGGGCGCAACACCATCATCAAAGGCATTAAAATCACGAGTTGTTCATTGTATACAGCTAAAATAGGATGGACAGTAAGTAACGTGAGATTGATTTCTGAAAAACTGAACATATGTCCCCAAAACCCCTTTCTTATCAGCTGATTCTGTCAGGACAATTTTTGTTATCTAGATTTATTCTCGTGACCCAACAGTAAAATAACTTTGCACGTAGCAATAGAAGACAGGTACAACCAAAGAGGATTGAGCTCGATACTGAGTAGTTTTTGAGACGTGTGTTGGCGGAAGACAATACAGACATTTTTACACTTAAGAACGATCTAATAAAGACTGGTATTCTGTGCCACGAAATCCCTGATTGAACAAACTGCGACTTACCTATCGCTTCAACGGGCACACAAAGGATCTTGTCCCTGTGAGCATCCACAGCTCCATTCTTAGCTGTGCTGACGTACACAAAGCAATAACCCAAGTGGTCTAGCGAGAAATGGGAGCAATCGAAGATAACGGAGGTGCCCATCACCGTGACCTCGGTGACATAGTCCAGAGTTCCTGTAGGCCGGAGCTCGAACCTGCCCGTCTCGGCGTAGACCCTGATTTTGTCCCGGTCCCCGCGGCAGTTCGGAGCGTCGAAGCTGACTTCTACGGCGGTTTGGTCTGGGCAAGGAAAGACCGTCTCCCTGGGGAACGTCACCCGGTAGCGCCCGCTCCATGCTGCCTCAACCGGCTGGCTGGTACCCAGGATAAGCCGCCGGTAACTAGAGCAGTAAATGAAAGAGTAGATGCCGGCCCTGTCTATAGTCTGGCACTCGAACTGTTCCAAATGGACGGCCGTGAGAGTTCCCACCTCTCTCTCCACCACCACGGATCCATGACTGGAGGTTATCATTTCCGTCTGGGACAACGTCCTGTTGACGTCATGATAAAGCAGCACCACTGAATTTTCGTATCGATTATATTGCATATCCGTGCATAGATTGGCCGTGGTCGTCACGGTCACCGCGATGCCACCTTCCAGGGCCACGTGCGTCCTCGGTGCTATCACATTCACGATGGGCCAGGTGACGTGGATGACTGAGCTGGTGGCAAGTATCTCTCCGCCACTCGTCCGTAGCATCCGGACCTCAAATTCCCCGGCGTGGTCGAAGTAGCTGCACTCGAAGCTGACGTTCCCGTTCGGCCTGTTGGGAAGGCCTTTCTCAGTCCGGTAGTTGTCCGAACCAGACAGGTCGCGTAGTTCCAACACCCCGTTAGGTAACACGTCATCTCTGGGTCTTTGGAACTCCACCGTGACGTCACCATTAAGGGCCACATGATCATCTGGCACCCACAGCCGATGACGTCTAGCACAGCTACCTAGTCTTATGCCTGTAAAGAAACAACAAAAACAAAATAAAATGCTGGCTAAATAAAAATGACTCGAATGATGAAATGCACTGGAACCGTTTTCAATCCTAGTTTCGTCGTATATTGTATCAAGGTAACCGCTGAGGCAACTCTCCTGTGATCGAGTGCAAAGGCCAAGGGCCATTTTTATTTGGTTATCAATAATAATAATAAATATAATGAGTGCACAGAACAACGTCTTTCCTACATCTGCAGGATCTATGTTAACAGGAAGAACGTGGGTATCCACGGTTGCTACCATGAGTACCTTTAGTCTGTTCCTTAATCATCAACTTTGAATTGCCAACTTAGGGTAACTTCTGTTCCTCATGCGGAGATATCGCCCCTTCCTCAAAAGAAAGTGAAACTGGAACAGTGACTCATTTTAGACGATCTTTTACAGATTGCAGAGAGAGTTAAGGTACAAACCATTACACACTGATGGATGAGTGCTGACAGAAAACCAACTGGTTAATTCCTGGGCAAACAGCATCTCCCAGCCAAGAACACTCCCAAACCCCTCTTGTGATCCAACACCTGTCTCCCAGACAACGGGCGAGAGCACCAGAATTACCGGTCGTTCGATTCCCTGGCACAATACAGAATGCGTCTCGCCCCAATCGTTCTGCCCACAGCCTGGCCGGTGTCGGCACTAAATCGACCGCGCATGATGGACGCGATTCGAAAGACATGCAGGGGTTGCGTCAGCGACGATCTCTACCACGGTGAGTTGGCGCGAGCCACGGGTGAATTCGAACACCGTCCTCAATATCATGATTCATAGCTGTGCTGGGTTTGCGTTTTGGGGTTTCGTGGATCTGATGGCACTTTGTCAACGAAAAGCTAAAAATCTAGTTTCCGTGGTACGGTCGTAGACACAGACATTTGCGGAAGCGACAATGGTGACGCCGTTCGACCAAAAATGAAAACAAGATGGCGTCCTAAACTCCAAAATGTTTTGTATGACATACTGTGTAAAAGGTTCTCGAAACCTCTTGCAACTGAACTGGTACTTCTTTACGATATGTTACAATCATTTCCAGCTGTTTCACTGAAATGTGGCGGTTTCATCTGTCAATGATTTGGAGAAAATAAACAAAAATACACAATACTCAAGCGAGAGGAATGTCGTTGTACGTCCGTCAAGCGTGTCAATATAGGCCTACTCTACCGACTTGACGCAGGCAATCGGCAAAGTCAAATAGGATTCAAATTTGTCAACCGTCAACGTCCTTGTTTGCGCCAATATCGATTGAACGTTTCCATAATGACCGTGTATCGTTTGGGAGTATACAGTGATTATCTCGGCATGCGCCGATATAGCAGGTAGTCTGAAACAAAGGATAAAATTGGAAAGCTAACGGATGAGGGTTTGCAGGGCCTTGCAGTAGGGGTCTCATCGAGTTGTATAACTAGAGTTCTGAAGCTCAAAAAACCCAAACCAACGGGGATTGTTAAAGTGGAAAGAAACCGAGGTTGATTGCCTCAGAAACTCAAGGGGTACAACTGCTTCGGTAAAAACTGTGAACATGTACAGACCAATACGGGGAGATGCCACAATTACTGACCTGGTGCCGAACTAACACGTGCATTCTTGGACTTAACGCGCGCGTTCATTTGGCAAATCACTACACCCTATTGATGGATTGGCCTGTAACGCGCGCGTACCACCTGTCCACGATCGCTGTCACCACCGCAATAATGGCTTGTAATTCTTTGGTGCCCAATTACAGTATACAGCTCAAGTTCTAATGCGCCTGCATTAATCCCAGAAAGAGGAAAAGGTTAAACCAGCGAACAATGCACAATACAGCGAGTCCAATAACGATACCCATCAAAAGTGTATTTAGAGTGATATTGGGATTGCTGTTCTCACTGTGGCCAGTGGCTACGTTTCGTTTTCAAACGAAAGTGTCTCACGCTTTGCATCTACACGCCAAGAGAGAAGAGAAGTATGCCATCAAATCAAATTAGCATGCGTCGCTGACTAGCGGGCTTAGGTCATAGTAGACACGGGCTAGAGTTGATACTTACACTTTCCACGTAAAACTTGCACCTATCCAGAGTCCCCGGCAGGCCAACCCGGGTCCCAAAACAGCGAACAACAAAAAAGGGGCTCGGGGGGACAGAGCCGAGAACGGTACCTCCCGTAAAAAGCTCGGGTGAGAAAGGCCAGACGGTCGAAGAGCAGGCCAACAGCGGGTTTCTGTGGCGCATTCTCGGGTGCTGAATACCGGATTTCGGTTGGCATTTGTGCCGAGCTCTGCTCCCGTTCTTTTTAAAGGCCCCAACCTGGGTGTTGTTACTGTACAATCAAGGGCATGATTTACAGTGCGTCGCAAAAGCTTTGATATACAAACCACTCAATACAATCATCAATGGTCTAACTTGCATAAAAAAAAACCCTGAACCATTTATTATCCATGCAGCTAGCAGTGGCCTGGTCTTACGCGGTACCTCATCAACTTACTACTTCAGGGACAGTTAAAGGCGCCAATTCGTGGCAAAACACAATTTATGAGCCCGTGATTTCGCCTATTGAATTTCATGATTATGTTAAGATAGCTCTTTTCCTCAAACTAGTGTATGTTCCTTATCGCCAGGATCATCAAACAGACCGTTCTTGAGAAGCACCAATAGATCATATTTTCCAAAATGATCCGAATGCAAGTGTACAATAATGACTTCACGTCTTAAGCCCCATTGCTCGTAAAATCTTGTCAGGTTTCTGGGGAAAAAATGCTGTTTTACCTGAGAGAAGAAAGGCCAGCAGCCACGCCGCCTTCCACGGCTGGAGCCCCACAGACATACTGCCGCCCCCGCTCTGCAAGACGCTAACCCACCAACTCCCGATGTACCTCCAAGTCACATTGCCTCCATTAGTCTATTCCTTCCTCCATGTTAAGTCCTCGTGCTTGATGGTGCTTGCTTCACAGCTCCTGTCCCTGATCAGAGAGGACAAAATAAACCGATCAATACCTGAGGGTTGCTGTCAACACGAAACAAGGAGCGTCTGAGTGTCATTTCTTTGGTCATACGTGATGTCAAAGCTAATCGGTAGATATTATGATTTATCCACACTTGCCAAATCGCGACGGAATTCACAAACCTCGCGACTTTCAAGGACCCTCTTCTGCCTCGCGTCTGTTGCGTGCCTTCCAGGAGCAGAGCACTAACGTTCTACCTCGAACAAGGCAACAGCCAGTTACAACAAGGGCAAGCGTATTGAAACACTCGAGTTGTGTCAGAAAAAAAAGGGCAAAGATCCATGGGAAGGCACGGGAACAGGAAAATCTCGCCCTGTGACCCGTGCATCAACAAGAGCTGATATGTGGCCAAAAGGCGTGGGCAACATCACCTCAGCATAGATGTTGACCTGGTGCGTCGCACTGAGGTATTGATTTCCCAAATACCATCGCATCGATCGGCACGTTACCTGTCCACATGTAGGACAAGTCTTGATGTGCTGAAAATGTTACACTGGCAACGTTCATGTTTCTTTTCATTACAGTCTGACAGTACACGCAATACGCTAACCATGCCCTTACGTTGACCTAACCCAGTCTCCCATTCATCACTCGGGAACTGTATCGCGACACAGCTGGATCGACCAGTGATAAAGCTCATCACCATCTAACGGTCGAATAACAGATGGATGGCCAGAGTCCAAAGATCTTCCCCCCACAATGCTATCAACGAGGACACTCATCAAACGCCCCAACGCTCGGGCCACCCGCCTGCGTACAGATTTCTGTTTGTTTGCCGATGTCCGAAGTTCGCCGGACGGAGTGAATTATTCGCCCAACGGCTCGTCTGTAACATTTCGGAGAACGCCGCGCATCACAGACCGTTTACAATACGGAGCTAATCCCACGTGATATTTGTAGCAGAGAGCCCTTCTTGCGGGGTAAAAAAACGAATTGCACGTACACCCTCATCAAAACTTTAGTTGATTCATGGATCGTCGAAGCAGACGGGAGCCTGCCGTATATAGAGACATATCTACTCACCCCTACTTGGGCACTTTCTCTTAATAAAGTCATGAACCTAAACCTTTCTCCCGACCGCTCATGCAGTGATGAAAGCTCATGGCTCCGGTACCGAGCGCTAAACTCTTTGAATGCACCCATCAATTAATTTATTCAGGAACAGAACAAGCGTGTTGAATCTTACCCACTCAGCGATAATGCATACACATTGTCTAGACTCTTGAGTGGAGCCGAAGACTACTATTTGCCCCGGCTTAACGGGTAAGCAAAAGACAAACACTAAGTAGCAGCGCTGCTATGCAAAGTGGAAGCTCAGAGCACCCCCTTACAGCCACTTGTCAGACACCACACGTCACGACAGCGGGGCATGAGCTGGCAACCAAGTGCTCTACAAACTTTAGTCCACCAGACAAACTTTCTCCGAACAAACTGAAAGAATCACCAAGCTGCTAAGCTTGCAATTATATAAGACTAAGTACACCATTCACCTGAACTCAACATATGAGGAATTCTACAGGAATACATTATTTGTGTTCAGCTGTAAGATTTTAGGTTCTGTCCAAATAGCATGTGCATGGGCGCAATAGTACACTGAATTCTCGTTGCAAATTATCAGCATTGCAAAATGCAGATTTATTAAGGTTATTTCTTTCCCCTAACATTACGAACTGTTGCACCAAGTAATGTATGTTATCGAAGTCTCTCATGCCGTACACAGAACACATCCCGTATGCATACTTTGTTCACAGTGTCGCCAGAAGAATAGAAATCTAAACTTACCTCATTAGAATAAAGGGAAAATTGCAATCCACACACGAGGAAGATATTAACAACATTCGGACCCAGGACTCCACTGTATTAATTTCGAGTCAAATTTATAGTAACTGTGCAAGATTGAAATAACGTGGAAAACGCCAGCTGAAACACACGCCGAATAGTTGCAAGAGGAGTACACGGTTGAAACGTTAGCTCCAATCGACTGGGCATCCCGGTAAATCGCCAAAAATATTAGAGCCAGGTCTCGTAGTTCCTGCCGCGAGAATATCAATTATGAAAGTATCAAAGTTAGCCGAACAGCATCGAGAACGAGATCACCGCTTTTCACGGACGTTGCACGGGACGACTCGGTGGGGGTAAAGCGCCGGTATTAGGGCTGACAATGGCCTCTATGCGCTGATACAGGAACTGGTGTTGGGAGAGAGAGAGAGAAAGAGAGACGTGCTTACCACGGCATTCATGCACAACGACAGGCATAATACATGTACATGTACACGACGGACGAGCAGAGCTGACAACAGGTACAAAATCCACTGAACCATGCACTGTGCTGGCTGAGACTCATGACTTCCACGTTACCTCTGCAGGTGTTACTTTACGAAACGTGAACGTGGATATAACAAAGCAATGTAAACAACCTTTCTCATGAAGTATCGTCTGTTCTTTCATCCGAGGTAAAGAGAGACAACCCACAAGTTTCACTCTCATTATTTTACATTTAAAAACTGAATCTAGAATGCAGAGATGCGATGCCCCTTTCTACATAGTGTGGCCATCACTGCATTAAAAACTGGAAGCACATCTAGTGTATCCAAGCAGTATGGAACAGCTTTGAAATCGGCCTCAAACTGAAAGGTTGCATGATTTCCAACAGGCCCTGTATTTGCTCACTCGTCAACTGGTTCATGGCAACAATGTTGCACCATTTTCTTTTCACGCCGGGATTACGAGCACCCCGAGCGCACTTTCACTGAACCAACGACTGCCGATCATGAACTCACACGGTGCTGCAGGCGATACAACTACTCACCTGTTGGCGTTTCTTGGTCGTAATATCCATACTTATGTTCGCAATGAAAAAAAAAAGACACTGAACGACCCGTCAGCATTTATCATGTCCTGACTGAGTACGGCATCATATCATGCGTATAGAAGCTAATACCACCAGGTGATAACTGTTGAAAGTTGAACGGGTCAATCGTACCGCGGACGTGTGTTTATCTCCAACGCAAATGCAAGCTGAAAAAAATGGCTATTTCTCTCAGTAGAATGTAGGCGCCCGAAACACATCAACCGTTACATGTAGAGGAGCTGATGTCACGCCTCTGCCGCTGAATGTCTATCTGCTTGTATTAAGTGTGAAGTGCACGACATGGTAGGCCCAGCAAACAAACGAATAGGTCCGACTGAACGTGATCCCCACAGTACACAGATTTGCGACTTGTCTCCGCGGTGGAGCCTTGAGCTAAGTTACGGTACTCGCTTTATTTGGGGTTGTACCCCCTTGAGGCGTCAGCCTGGGACTCCTATCCCGGTCGAAAACCCCGTCGTGCTCCACAAACTCTCAAAAAGCTGGGCCCGTACCGTAACTGACTAGCTCCTTTCTCCTTCCTCGCGCGTCACAAACACCAGCACCTTCCAACAAAAGAACTACCCGGGAGAACAAATTCTATACCCTCGAAATTTATATTATTGCTTTCATATTCCTTTTTGGGGGAATCAGTGAATTCGGGAACAATTTGGCCCGCATGGGAGAGATTAGTGAGGGATACAATAGAATTTAAGCCTGTCAACAAAAGACCTATGTGCCAACCCGGTGTCGAGTCGTATAATAATGTGCCTCGCGCAAAAAAAATTAAAATGGCGAAGTTGGGTGCCCTGCTCCAAATGTTACACGGTTTCGTCAGTATGGACACGGATAAACATGTTTTCTGAAACCGTTGAAGGTGTAGAAGAGATCATCTTGACTTCTGAAATCAAACAACAATTGGAATTTCTTGATGTGTGGGAGCCAGCGGTGATTCAGTGTATCTTTTCAATTTGCTACTTCAATACTGAAACGGAAAATGAAATAAGTTTTGCCTGTGGTAAAATATTGACGGAGTAAAAGCAGGTTCATCTTCATACATACGCAGTGAATACACTGGTCTCCATAAACTGTTCCAAGATATTCAGCTCAACAGTAAGATATCACATTGGCAACGCTGTACACAAGACACACCAACGGTCAGGACGTCACGCGTAACCATGTACAAATTTTCAGATATCAACAAAATAATGTAAGGCAAAAGTAGTCACACGAAACAATGGACAAGCGCGGCCATGACTATTATACCAATCAAATCTCGCTTTAATTATACCGTGTCACTTCACGCCTGGCAACGAGCGTCAACACATATTATTCTATCCATTATTTATACATCGAGGCCTCCTTCGCGGCTGTGCTAACAGTGCATACGGAGCTGAAGTGGGCTATCTTACAAGCCACGTGTTTGTCTTGGCCTAAATATGAGATAAAAACACCATTAGCAAATCGGTATTACATGTACAGCATTATATCTATCGCCTGTTGGTGTCTGAACCCGCGGCAGTGTGTGTCTCGGCAAAGAAACGGATATTACAATAGAAATTCGTGCACGCTGCATATACAAGTACGACAGAATTATTAGGAAGCTATAGGTCTCTGCCTCGATAAAAACTGTCGCTAGCATGATTCATTATTTATACAGAAACTTTAAAATATGAATTCGATGGAGAACATAAAATAAGAACAAATGCACCTGTTCCCTTACATGTTTGATAGCTCGGTGAGACGGCTCACTATACAACTTAACGCACAATGGCATCGCCAACAATAAATGCAGACAGAGTGCCATAATGCAATGCCTTCAGGCCAATGAAAAACCGTGTATACCTCAGCTATAAATACCAGCATTACTCACACGAATCTAACCGTGCGGGCCACACAATTGTAAAAATGATAATTACTGTTAGCCTGTCAGTTACACAGGTCTGTTTGTATATCTGAAATGAAAATGTCAACCTCATGTCATTACACTTTGCATGTACAGCCAGGATGTTTTTGTCTGGTTATTTGTTTTCAAGCATGTCACAAAGGTGACACAATCCACTGCGCGACAGCCGCTACAAACTAGAGAACACAAGGCCGTCGATACCAG